GCAGCAGTGACGGACAGCCCAGCCATGCTGCGGGACATGTTGATAGGCAGGAAGAACAGGAGTAGACCTGGGCATTGAGTGGGCTTCTTCGACGGTCGGCTGAGATAACTTGCTGACTCGCCATGTATAGTTGCCTGTAACTATTGGGTTTCCCAGTCAACATCGAGCGCTGCAGCTCAACTGCCGTTATCCCCCCCCTCCCAAGTCCATATATACGAGTAGGCGTTTGTTTCGTGATGTTTCGTTGTTGGCGAATCACCAGTGTACGTACTACAAGCCGAGCCAATTGGATGTGGCTCTGCATTTATCCACCAGAACCCGTGCTCGCCGGGGTATGCTATGGTCGTCTGTTCCAGCGCCGAGATCTCAATACATAGACTTGGGGTTTCCCCAGTGACGAGCGCTTCAAGAGACTCCCTAGATGCTCGATAGAGAGCGTAAACCGGCTGCAAATCACCAAGAGTCAAGCCGGCGGCGCACTCGGGTGATCCTGAGTTGAGCACCGGAGGAATAGAGTGTCACAAATCAAGCGAGGGGAAAAAGTACAGTGCTCAAACCCACTGCAAGTCTTGGGAATCGAACCCAAGAAAGCCGTCAACTCTCGGTGATGACAACCATTCAACCAAGAACTTGCTTTTGATCGAGGCATTCAGACCAAACATTAGTAACGTTCGCCGTTTCTCGTAGGCTCAGTACACGCAATTGATGGTTAGTTGCGAAAGTAGCCAGACGCAATAGTATGACGTCTGGTAAAGCGAGCATCACCGGTTTAAGCCTTGGCAACCTGTCGCGGTGTTCTCGGGTTAGATTCCCGATCTACATGCAAACCGAATAAAACCTATCATCGGCTTATGTAGACTTAACGGGGCCTTCATAGTGGAGCGGCTTCATGTCTTAGAAAGATCATGGAGACTGGATGTGTTCGATTCGCATACAGGCCTAATTTACGCTTGCCTTCGAATTTTTTTAAATGACGGGCTCGCTGGACTCTTTAGACCGTCTGTAGCTGGCTAGAATTTGGAAGCACCTCGAGAGCTATGCACAACTCGCCGCCTTGAAGCTCATATCACCATTACCAGGCACATGGGGTGTTCGCATTTGCAAAGGTAGGACAGTCGCAGCCTGCTGACTTACTAGACTTGCCTCCGGGATTGTTCCGGTGCCTGAAACCTTAGGGCTGAATGCAGGGGAAAGGAAATCAAGCGGGGGGAAAAGTACCGTGCTCAAACCCACTGCAAGTCTTGGGAATCGAACCCAAGAAAGCCGTCAACTCTCGGTGATGACAACCATTCAACCAAGAACTCGCTACAACTCCGGCCCCATTGGGGTGTATAGACCGAATCCTGAGGCATCCCCCGACTCGTGCCCGGTGACCGTCATCGTCATCAATGGGGGTTGCGCGCTTGACAGATTGAGACCTTGCCAGAAGCTCCCTGGCGATCTGTCTGAGCACCAGGTACGCGCCCACGGTGGCCCGCGGCGCAAGTCTCTCCTCTACCATGAACGCCGACAGTTCGGGAACCGGGCAAACGTAGCGTTGGTCTCGATGGGAGCGGTCGGTGATCATATTTGGTGATCTTGCAACGCCTTGCGCTCGAGGCGGCGATGTCGGAACGCTCTTGGTGCTCAAGTGATCACCCCAGGGAATCTGCTCGTCAGGCCCACTTGCAGTCTGTAAGCTCTCCCCAGGCATCACCAGGTGAAGCATCGCACGCAAGTCCGATTATCCCCACACAAGGATCCAGGCGGTTGCGCTCGCCCCGGCGGACATATCTGGTGATCTACGGAACCTCGCCGCTTCGTTGAAGACGGTCGCCAGTGAGTATACTCATGTTCTTAGGCACCGGTGCCGGTGAAGCGATCGAGAATCGCCGACCAAGACGATTGAGCAAATCACCCGCCGCAGGTTCCGAGTTACCTAACGAGACGCCCGGGCCCGGCGGTGGGGCATCATGAGTTCACCAGGCTGGCTACCAGCCAGCGATCTTGAGATTCGCCTGATTGGCGTTTGGGTTGCATTCACGACTTTCAGAAATGCCGGCAAATTATAAGTTGTGGGTCTACGATACACGGCGAACACTCTCGGTGAGGCGAATCAGAGGAACACCGCAGGCCCGTCGGCCTGCGGAGTTCCAAAAGGCATCCCAGCCTTCGGCAGTCAGGTGGACGACATCGAGCGCCGGTGGCGCGGGTTTGGTGATGATGTGAATGACCTCGAGGGCGGGGCAAGGATAACCTCCTGGTCCCGGAGTGTTGAGGTACAAGGAGAGGGCATCGAGATGAGTGAAAGCTAGCCAGCCCTCCATGTTCTGCTGGAAATGCGCGTCGTCGGTAAGCGGAGCGTTGTCGAAATGTATTGCCCTGAGAGAGATGAATCTCTCCAGAATATGCTCGTAGGCTAGGCTGCGGTCAGGCAGCCAGCTGTCCTTGGCGAATACAAACTCCTCGACCCGGCGTTCAAAGCCCGTGATAGACGGACCCGGGACGGCGCTCAGCACGTATCGCAAGGTGTCGTACAAGGCCTTGGGATACTGAGTGTTGAAGTCGCGCTCACGACGCCATGCGGTGAACTGTCCATCTCTGAATGTCAAAGACCGCCGAGCGGCGATCTTGCCTTCTAGCTCTCGACTCCCTTGCCAATCCCGTCCGACCGGGTCCCGCGCAACCGGCACGAGCGCTTCGACCGACTCCGCCAGCGTTATGGCGACGACCTCTGGAAACCGCGCCGCAACTGGCTCATCGGCCTTGATAGCAGGGTCGAGGCGCACGTCAAGCCCCATTACTGCTATTGAGCGTTGCCAAAGCAACTCGGCTGGATCGCCGACGTCTACTGGATGTGGTGCGGCACCGGGATGCTCTATCGTCGACGTACAATGGGGCTGGTACAGGCTTTGCGCAAAGTCCTGAGGTCGCCGCCATAGGAGATGGACAGGAGGAGCATAGGTCGAAGGCCAGAAGGGCACTTCATATATGCCCGGGTGCTTCTTCGTGAAGCTTTTTCTCCAGAACTCAACTGGCTCCAGATGCAGGTCGAGGGCATAGGGCAGAACCATCCAGCAGAGCAGGAGGGTAGCAAAACCGGAATCCATGCATAGCCGGAAGTGGTGAAGTTTGGGAAATGCAACGCTGTCCTCGAGTTCCGCCGCGACGCCTCCGGCAATGTCGATGGTCAAGAACTCAATTGTTACGGACACCCGATTATCCATTATCTTTTTCCTTTTCTTTTCCTTTTCCCGGACTCTCACGTGACTCGGCAATCCCCGTGACTCACGCTCGACTCATC